TGGGTGCTGGGATGCTTGACACCTAAATACATATATCAGTTTTGAAATTATATCTAAATTTAAATTATATTTAAAGACTTAATTGTGTCCAAAGTTAAATCTAGCTATTTTTTCCATAAGCAGTTGAAAAGTCCCACTATAACAAAAAAAAAAAGAAAAAAAAAAGAACATAGTGTAGGAGTTCTCGTTCTGTCAAGAGTGCCATACATGTATAATTATATATGCAAGTTAAACTGTAACAAAAAACTTAAATATCTGCTAGTATTTGCTCCCCTCTCTCGCGCACACCACACAACACCTTATATCATGTTGATATTTTTTTTAATCTGATCCAAAACTATTAAACTAGAGTATTTTTCATGTGAGAAAATATATACTTTCGAGTATTTTCCAAAACCATTATAAACGTTATTACCAACTAATTTTACGATTTAGTATGCATCTTCAATTATAAGTGAGAGGTTTCGAGTTAAACTCAAATAAAGGGCAACAACCTATTATGTTTATGTTGAGTTTGATATGGCCTAAGCCCAATTCTCTTCCCTTTTTAGAATATCGTTGTATACAAAAAACGACATGGAGATAGGGGACTTTGTCTAAACCACAAAATGGGTTAGCTATAGTTAGGTATCAAACCCATGATCTAAGCGAGTCGAACCTTAAATATTCCACTTACTAATAAGTGTAATACATGGTCTGTCTATAAGTGTTTTTGAAATAATTAAAACCGCTTTTAGCTAGATCACCAAATGCTAGTCTAACCATGTTTGGTTAAAAAGTTAAAAGTGGTTTTGGGGTCAAAAGGCGCTAGTTATGTGTTTCTTTCAAGAAGCACTTCAAGTCTTTTTCAAGAAGCACTTGCAATTTTTATTAAAAATATCTTGGTGCTTCTAATGGAAGCATTGTTACTTAAGAAGTGATTCTTAAAGAAGTATTTTCAAAGGGAACCTTAATTGTTTAGCTAGTGACAACCATTAATCAAATTTTATAAGTAGGGTAAATAAAGCGAGATGATTTCTTTTTAATTTTTGAAAAAATAAAACACAAGAGTGCACCATTTGAAAGCTTATTATTATAACATAATTTCAAGACCACAAAACCACATACAACAATATTTGTCTCACCATATATATGTTGAAGGTTGTGAATAATGAATTTTAATAAAGCCTTGTAAAAGACGTCGAATATTGGCCAGCAAACATATATGATAATCTCGAAGGAGGATTAGTGTTAACCGTGGATCAAATTTATGAAAATCCAAGAGTCACTTGGAATATATAAAGACAATAAGCTTTCGTGGAAAATCAATTTTTATTAAAAAGATAATTTAGACGTAGTCTACAAATGTGTTCTCCCAATCATATACCTAACGAGAATATTACTCAAGAAGAAGCAGCAGCAACGTCTAGATCATAGGAGACGGACAATCACGACCAACTTCCATCCAGACGATAAGATCTAAACAAAAATATAGGATCGCATAGGATCATTCATGTTTAAGTAATGTTTTATCAATGCCATGGAGTTTCAAAGAAACTGGTATTGCTCGCATTATACGCGGAGTAATACTCTTTTATAATATAAAACTGTTTGTGTGTATACATTAGCGTCTGCAATCTTCATCCCATGAGGATCCTATTTCTCCGATACAGCGCAGAAATATAAAATATGTTAGACTAAGTTAATATAAAATAAAATATAAAAAAAACAGTGCAACGAGTCTGTCCTTATTCTTGGCACCACTTTTTTACAAAACTTTGGACACACGTTTTTATTTAAACGATTCGAATAATTTATTTGTGGTGAAGAAAATCGATAAATTTGATCTTACAAAGAAACATTAAAACCTTAATCCAGCGGTCATATGGTTTCAGAGATAAGTGATTTTTGTTAGACATGATCTGTAAGAGAAAACCTAAAATATAGATGGTTTGGATCGTTGGAATATATTACAAAGTGGGCCTTACAAAAATGTGTATCAAAAGTTTATATATATATATATATATTTGAAACACTTAATTTGAATATATATACTTTGTACATGTTTTCTTATTCTTATCTTTCTTTTCTTATACAACGTTATATTTACAAAAGTTAATAAAATAAAGGGTTTTTGAACTTTAATCTTTCAAGAAGATTAAAATTTAATAAAAACTTGGTGTTAGATTGGATATTGATTTTAATCCCTTAATTCATATTCATATTATATTTTTGTTTTAATATTTAATAGATATCTTATTTAATTAATGTCATTACATTAAATTTTAAATTCATTATTATACACATTTTAATTCATTAATTTTATTTAACTTCCTATAATTAGTGTACCAAAATGTCCGTATCATAATATATTTTACTAAATTAGTGTATTGAAATGTGTGTACCTAAATATATTGTAGTGAATTGGTGGCACATAAGAAAATATGCAAAAACATAATTGTACCAAAAATTTCATACATAACTATATATATGATACTAAACTAGCGTACCAAAATGTCGGTACCTAAATATATTATACTAAACTAGTGTACCAAAATGTCTATACCTAAACATATTATACTAATCTAGTGTACCAAAATGTTCGTACCGAAATATATTGTAATGAAATTAGTGACACATAAAAAAATATGCAAAAACATAAGTGTATTGATAAATCTCTACAAAATATTTTCTTATATAAGATATTCACCATAATGAGAATTAAAATATATAATATGTTCATAAAATTTAATTTATGAACACCATAAAATTATAAATAAAAAAGAGAGAGTGCATACATATGCTGGCATTAAAATATAGTCTAGGGACTAAAATCAATTTTTAATCTTGTATAAGACATTTTTCTAAACTTCATCTTATTTAGGGATTGAAATCTAGTTTTCTATAAAATAAATTAGTATTGAACTTCTCACACAAGCACACAACACCACACCTTATACCATGATATTTCATAACTGATCTTGATCGAAACTATTAAAATAGTATTTAGCCCTAATTTGGTACTGAGGTGATTTTGAAAAAAAATGGTTATGAAAAAAAGTTGGGAGCTTTTTTATGTTTGGTAAACATTCAACTTCATTTTTTTCATAGTTTTGGGTGAAAAAAAGCCAAAAACACAAAGCTGCAAGACCTAGCTTTGAAAAACTAGTTTTTTTTCACATCTGTTTTACATAAAAGTTTATCAAACACTATAATACTGCTTTTTTTTTGTTTTTTTTTTTTCAAAAGCACTTTTACAAAAAAAGTTTACCAAACACTATGTTGCTTTATTTCACAGCTACTTATTCTCACAGCACAACTGAAGCAGTTTTTTTTCAAAGCACAGCAATACCAAACCAGCCCTTAATTTCCATGGTTTAGGGATGCCCATGCACAATACTTTTAAGAAGACAAAACCAGATACAAAGATTGCTCATAGCCTGACTTTGATTTTTATTTTATTTTTAAACAACCGATATTCTCTAGCCTAAGAACATTTGTAGTTATATTTGCCTTCCGATATATATGTTTACTGTTGTGAGTAGTAAAGCTTGTCAAAGATGACGAATATTGGCCAGCAAAGATTTATGATAATCTCCAACGAGAATTAGTGTTACCGTTGAACAAATTATCAAAAATCTGAGAGTCACTTTAAATAGACAAGTTATTTTGCCCAAAGAAATTACATTTTAACTCCTTAGCTTCTGCTTAGGAAAAATGGAATGAATAAGAAAGTATGATCAACATTCGTTGTGTTGAAAATAAAATATAAAACAAAAAGAGAAAGTAGGAAGAGGAATTAGCTAGATTGTATTCTTCTCATTATAATGCATTTTTATAAGTTTAAGGTTTATCTGGAGACAAAGCCTAAGGGCTCGTTTGGATTTTTTGTTTTTTTTTTCTTTTTTAGGGTTTGGGTGTTCGTGAACCTGGTGGAGTTGGGGCTGGCGTCGTGGCACTCATTTGCGGTGTCGACAAGAAGTTGAGCGGAATCCTTCCTCTTTTGGCGTTTCGACGTGACCTAAAATCTGAGCTAAGTTGCATGCTTGCTGGGTTCCGTCGAGGCACTGGAAACTCGTGATGTAATTGCTTTGCGAATTGCATGTTGATTTCGGCTTCTAATGAGCTGAGTATATTGTAAATTTTTGCTCATTGTTCTTGCTTTGATATGTGTATCTATTGATCTTTAGTTTGGCATGAACCCTATTAATTGGCATTGGGGTCTTGATTTCTACTAATTTCTGTAATTAGTCCATGTTTAAAGGAAAGTTCTTCTAAAAAGAAAAAAGTAAAGACAAATGTTTAAATAGATTTTTCTTTTTCCGTCCAGCAATGAGATGTTTTCTGGTCCTTCTGGGAGACCTATTAGAAATTAAAGATGAATGATATTTATAATATTTTGAATATTAGAAATTAAATAAAAAAAAAAATCTCGAACTAAATTTGAACCAAACCGAATCGAACCAAACAATAATTATGATTTGGTTTTCGCTTTTGGTAAAAAACCAAACTGAATAAAACCTAACCCACCCTCATTATATGATGCAGTTTTTATTTTATTACATTAAAATTAGTCACATCTAATCTTGAATTTTTTATACTAACAATAGATTTTCAGTAAGGAGTAGAGAAATAAATTGGTATCGAACTTGTGATTCAAACATAAGACCTCATTTGTTTTTGTAAACAACCTAAGCCCTCATCTAATATTGGTTTTAATATAATGATTGTGGAATATCAGGACAAACATAACCATACATTCATAATATTGCAAGTATTGATCAGGGGCGTATCTAGGATTTGAAGATGGGGTGGGTTGGATCTTAAGCTAATTCTTAACCTTGTTCAATTAAAATTCTTGCTTAAATATTTTGCATACTAACATTTGTTTTTTAAAATACATGCAAAACAACAAAATTTACAAGACATCAAACAAATTTCTACATGCAAATTACTAAAAAACCAGAACATACGTGTTGTTTTTATATGATAGTGCGCTGTCATATTTTGTGCGTGTCGTCTCCTCTCTAATTGGTTTACCTTTTCAGTGACCGAAACCCTCGCTGCCTTTTTGTATTGTTCATAGCCATTGCAAAACCCTCCCCCTCAAAATGTCACACCAGCAAATTCGATTTCCCAAGTTCTCACACCTAATCTAAACCCTCACACTCACTGCCATCGCAAAACCCCCATCAAATCCTACAACCAACAAATTCAATTTCACAACCTTTCACGCCTAATCTAAACCCTCGCGACTTCACTATCAAGTGTTGAAGGTATGGATTGAACTCTGAATCTTCCTGCATCACCGGTCTCCGCAACGTTTTCCAAATTGAAGGTAAGCTTATTTGGTATTCTGGATTATAGTGGAATTGAAATAGGTTTGCTTTCATTAACTTTTTGGGTTATTAAATTTGTATGCTCTGATTATTTTGGAATTCGAATTTGATTTTTATTAACAAATTTCTGATAAAACCCCAACAAGAAATTTAGGAACTTGTATTTTTTTTTTTTTTTTTGGGGTCTTCTTTCTTCTGATTTATTGGGGTTTTCATCTGGATTATTTTGTGAACATGCTCCATTTCTTTTACGCTTGGTTTCGTATACCTACAGCAGTCAAAGAAATAACCTTGCTGAACCAGAAGCCACTCGCCATTTGAGTGGCATATATGTTTATTTCTATTTAGCGTGAGAATATGGGTCCGAGATGGGATTCTTCCAATTCCTGAGCAGGGAAAACAGGGAGGGATGGTGACAGTAGAGAACCACCAACTTCTTTGTGGTGGAAATCATAGCTTCATTTTAGATTTTCTTTTGGGTTTAAGAAATGGGTTGGAATGATGTCTCATGAGCTGTGAACCAAATAATCTATTCATGTCTCATGATTGTGTGAATATTAATAAATTTAGTTGTGAACCAGAATCTGGATATCAACCAAGGTCTAACTGCGATAGGGTTCATGTTTTTTTTTGTAATTTGATTATTTTGAGCTCATATTTTTTATAATTCTGTTTTTGAAGGAATTAATTGTTAATTGTTATGTTGCATTTCAAGGCACGAAGCCAGGACAGAGTTTTCGTCTGCACCAATAAGTAAAAGATTCAATATTTTCACTCTGGAGACTCTGGATACCATATGTGTAGCCATTAAAGGGTTCATAAACGGGCAGAGCACTTTCGAAAACGGGATTCCATCTGAGGTAGTACTCGATTTTGCTAATATTGCTCTTCTTTACTGATTTCGGTTGACGTTGTGAATGTAATTTGCTTTTGAATGTTTTTGGGTACAAATTTAGTTTCCAGTTTTGGGTTTGCCTGGATATGTTGAAAAATATATGCATTTGAGAGTGTTGGGACTCACAAATGATGTAGGTACTGAGTTTTGGGTACCGTCTTTCAGTTCAGATTCATATTGGGATATTGATGCTTTGAACAATCTGTTAGTGGTAACTTTGTATATTGGCTATGAATATTGGCATTAAAATATAATTATGGAGAATGGGAAATCACCCTTTTGTTGGTTTTACAAGTATTAGTGAATGATGAGCACTGGACCCAGCAAAAACCTTTGGTTTTCAACCAAATTAGGTTGTTCAGCTGAAAAGAAGCATCTTTTGATTTTTATTGTTATGCCTCTGTCAACTTCTTTTTAGTTTAAATGCACTCTTCATCTCCTCAAGTAAATTTGATTATCTATTAATTTCCCCCATTTTTATTTTCAAATTTATATCGATTGCTAAGATTGTGGAAGGGTGTATGGGTTTGGGTAATTTTCATAGGAAGAGAACACCAATTGTGGTGACGATGGAGAATCCCTTCTTTGCGGTGGAAATTGACGGTCCATGTGCAGCATTCAGCCCAGTTTATAAGGGACAATGACATGGGGAATTGTTTAATTTTATCAAGTTTTGTACTGAGGTAACACTCTCCCCATTTAACATGGTTTAAAATGCTGATTAGTATATGTATAAATAGTATTGTGAGTATGGTTGTATATATGTAGTAGTAGAATTGAAAACATTTTTTGTAATTATGTGTAACTAGAGTTGTAAACCCGCGGCATCGCGCGCGGGCTTTTTGGCTTGTGAATCCTGTCACAAAATAAAAAAAATATACACTCAATTGAGGGACATTGGCATTACCACTCAAAATGCATTTATACATAAAATGAATTGGAGCATTGACCGCTAAATTATGACTTGAGTTTCAATTTGATCCTCAAACTATTTACAAGAGCCTAAAGGCCCACTTGGTATTCAACTCAAATCCAGAGTTTTAAACTCAAAAACACTTTTTGAGTGTCGTTTGATTGATTCATTCTCAAGAACACAACTCAAAAACACTTTCAAACCCTTTTTTTTCCTTGTTTTCTTCTTCCTCTGTTCTGCACGCTCATACCCCATGGATACGCCACTGGTGTTGATTGACCTAAAACCAAAATCCATTAAAGATAATAAAAATTGTCATTTTACGTTTCAAAAAGATGCAATTATTTAGCTAAGCGGTTTTCTGGTGTTTTCTTTAAACAAAATATTTGAATTGAATTGATTTATTTTCCTAAATGAATAAATGCATACGATACTTACCATCAAGAGTCCATGGCATATGATCTTTCAATATATGCCTTGATGCGCATGCCTTCAATACTTGGGACTCAGAATCTAGGGCACGCGCCGCACACCCAAAACTATAACTGATCTATCACAGATCAGTTTTTATAAAGGTCGATGACTAAACGAAGTTCTATAAATCGGCCACAAAATGTTATGAGCAAGACTTTCTTCAAAACCTTGAGTAGCTAAAGGAGCCGCCTTTACCAAAATATTGAAGAGATTACTACAGGTCCAGCAAATCAAGCAGACAAATCACGTATCTTCAAATATCACCAGTGTTCTTTCTCCTCTACCTTCAATATACATACTCGGCGCATGCAATTTTCTCTTCATGTTCTTTTAATTGTTGTAGTAGCTCATGATAGCCATAGCAGTTTGGGCAGCTACGAGGACAAGGAGGATGAAGGCGTAAAAAACTGAAATGAAGGACCATGGCCTGCCAAAATAGGTCCGCATGAGAGTGGCCCAGTGGCTGCTGTAGTAGGACTCCACATCTCTGAATTGCTCGGAAAGGTAGCAGTCTCTTATTTCTAAGCCAGCATTTTCCCCCAACTTTCTGAACAGCTCAGCTACGCTTTGGTCGTTCAGTGAGAAGCCGGTACTGATGATCCCATCGGAACATAGTAACTTGACATCTCTAGTAGAAGTCAGGAGACAGCTCATGAAAGTAATATAAGTGCTGAACCACGTACCTGTGTATTGGCGACATTGTTCTAAGGCCAAACAATTGATGATGAAAGTAGTGGTGAAGTCATTGATGGTTAAAGGTGGGATATCTAGAACCCAATTTCGGAAATTGATCTCCAAGAAGCTGTCCGCTGCTTTGCGTGCCTTGAACTTGATCCCCGAGGATCGTAGTTCTGTGGTACACTGGATTGACTTCAAGGATGGATGACATAACTTTTGAGAAGAGTACTGATCATTTGAAGTGCATTGGAGGGGAAGGAAGGTTAAGTGAAACAAGTCAAGCAAGTGCTCGGCCTCCATCATTCTTGAGTTTTTAAGGACTTGAGGAGGCCTAGGCAATGAGTTACTGAAGAACTTAACCGCAAGAAGGCTTAGTGGATCCCCACCTTTACGTTGATCCGATGAGATGTCGTATAATCTTTCGAGGACGAAGAAAGGGAGTTGATTTTCAAGCTTGAGGAGGTCCCTCATGAGAATTGGAATCAACCATGGCATGGCTAAGATGGGGTTGCCATCCCGATCATTTTCATCAACAACGTGATCATCGCCACTACTTTCACAAACATATCGAAAAAGCTCAATGATAAAGCACCCATCAAGAACCATCATTTCAACAAATTCACTAACGCTCAACTCCTGGTGGTCGGAATAGCAACTTCTCGTGATTTCCTCCAACCTGCTCATGGCTCCTATGTAGTCTTTTAGGTCGCGCTTTGTTCGCCAAAGGAGGCCGTCAAGAAACCACCATTTGTAGCTCTCGAATTCCGATAATTCCTTTTTGCCGCGGTGGTATGGCCCGATGGAGACGATTTCAGGCTGAATGGATTTTGGGCTGATTCCGGTGAGGCCGGGAGGAACTTTGTATATGCACACAGATCTCCTATTTTTTGTTGTTGGAACACCTCGTCTGTTTTGCTCAAGACGGCTTCGCATAGCAGCCACAGATTCGTCGATATCAATCACCACTTCTTCTGCAGTACAATTTTGCTCTGCTACTACTTTGATACCGTCACTGCAAGCCATCTCTCTCTCTCTCTCTCTCTCTACAAGTTCGTGAACATGAAAACTTGGGTGCAATTAGACTATTATTAGAGATTAAACCTTCTGCACCCGATGCAACGATACTTTATGCACACAGATTAAATACTGTATTATTAAAGATCAAATCTTCTGCCCTTATTTTATATGTGACTTTTCTATAACCTCTATTATTAGTTGAGAAGTTATTTAATAGGAATATGCTATTCACATATTTTATTTTACTTTTCACATATCTTTTGATAATTTATGTTCGTTGATCTTCTTCAATTTATCCGATCCAACAGATAAAAATTAAAAATTTATGTGAGAAGTGAAATAAAATGTGTGAATATCTCATTCTATTTAATATTATAAAGAAAGGTGCATTATTGTGGACTAGTGGAAAGTCAATGTCATGACTCATTATCGCTGCAAAGCACGCGGAGCTTTTACAAAGCTGTTCGACGTATTAGTGCTCCCTTCATGGCTTTTTCTTTTTGCTTTGAAGACTAATTACAAAAGGTCCCAACTGGAGACAAGAAGAGTAGGCGAAATTACCGGCTTGATTAACTTATTTATTGGTGAGAATCTAATGCCCCAAAAATCTAAGGGTCAAGAAAACAAATATATTATAACTATTTGTATATGGATGAATTATTAGTGTATTTTAAATATAAAAACGAATAATCTTTACACCTATTCTCTATGTCTTTTTCGTTGTGTATATATTTATTTATGTCGATTAATATTGTGTTCAAACTTTCTTTTGAATCTGTGATACTTGTGTAGGTTATTACCACAGGTCCACAAGCTTTAAATAATGGGCAACGTTAAAGAGACAAAATTTAGAAACAAAATTTATAAATTAAATAATGTATCATTAATATGGATGAGTGCGCTTATCAATACTTAAGTAATAAATTAATCATCAACTTTTATGCTTTTTAATTTTTAAAATTTTATCTATAAATTTAATCTTCCTAACATTACTCTTAAATAATTGTAAAGTTCCGTAAGCGCGAATCAGTTCTGAAGCGATCACATAATGACAGCAAGTCAGATGAAAAATGATCTGGACCGGCCTTCACATGCATTCGGGGGTTTCGCAAGGTAAAGGATCTTAATCTTACATTTTTTTTTATTTTATATACCAGCGATGCGGGCAGAGGGATAATCCAAAACTCGAAATCTGGGGGTAGGATAAATGCATGCTTACATGCCCTTGCACCTTCACTGTTTGATGATGATTAACTTGTTTAAAGCAAGACGGAACTGGATTTGAAATTGGGGTGGGTAATAACTACGAGTTGTATTTACACACAAAAAATAAGAAGATAATCCTGCGTCAAACCAGACCACATCTTGATTAGTTTAGTTTGGTTCGGTTTGGTCTATAAGGAAACGACCTAAACAAGCAACACCGGTACACTTGGCATTTATTTATTGGTTTACACCATGGACAATCATGTTTCATCTCATTGATAACACTGATACTGTCTCTAATTTGCTAATTATCACTTGTACAATCCGTCAGATGTGTGATTTTATCACAAAAAGCTTCAGTATTACTTGGAATGGAGTTAAGGTATTCACATTTTTTTCTTAGAGACACGGCCGATGAGATATTTTAACACCTTCCCCATGTGGAACCTAATTAATGGTTCACACATGGGAGATAACAACCGCAGTTGAGGGGAAGATGTATCTGCTGGGTTTTTCCTTAGTCTTTCCACTTCCCCTTCTTCTCGCTCGGTCTTTTCTTGCACTATTATTTCAAGAAAAGCTGATTTGCTCTTTCTCCAACTCTTCTATTTTTTTGCCTGCCCAAGTTCATTTCCAAGAGATTTACACCTTTCACAATTGTGCTTGTTTAGAAATTTAGCCATTGTTGGACATACAAGAGAGTTCTCTGAGATCTGTAGATTCCAAATAGAGTTGGTGGCGGGTGTGGCGGCTAGGGTCTAGGTGGGGGTGAAGGTGAGGGATGCCAAATAGAGTTGGTGGCAGGTGCGGTGGCTAGGGTCTAGGTGGGGGTGAAGGATGAGGGAGGTCAAGGCAGGGATCAAGGTTTTATTTTTTAAATTTGTTTTTAATTTTAGAATATTTTTCTTTTTAAATTAATTTTTCTTAATTTGTTTACATCTACATTAGCATAAATGTGGAACCGCAATTACTACATCACCATTTAATGGTTAACTTAACATGAATTCTAACAGATGTATGAAATTGAATTCAAATAATAAGTAATGTATGAAAGCAAAATTTAAAGATGTATGAAGTTGCAATTGATCCTAAACCTGAGCGGGTAAAATGTAATTTACTCACTTTTATTAATAATGACACACCCTGACTCGAATTTTAGTAGGCAGCAAAATTGAGGTGTGCTAACCATCACCCAGATGGGTGATGAAGCCATGATATACATGAAAGTATAACTAAAATTATCAACTAATTAAATTTACCAAAAATTTGGCAGAATTTTCTTTAAAATAGGGATAAGACCAAACTAAAACACCTGCAAAAAGTCACATTCATATCAAACACATCCCCGCAGGGCCACACTTAGTGGGTCTCCAGTCCTCAATTATATACACAATAATAGTTCAGAGCACAATTGTCTAATACCCGTTTACAAATAACGTTGAGCAGATAACATACTCAATAAGGATGTGTCAATGCCTGAAAGGATTCCTCGACGTTAAAGATGCTCACATCAACTGCTACTGATTTTGGTTTACACTTAGAACTAATCAATACATATATACTAAACTAATACTTTCTGGTGGCTGCATACAATATCATCCACTAACAATAACTAGTGGAAGCTGGATAATATAATCATGTCATTGCCGAGCAATCTTGAGGGAAGGACAAGCTGAGAAAGTAATTGTGTAGTCATGTCATTATTGAGCTAGTAATCTCAAAGTAATGACAAGTTGATAGTATAACTATAGTACCCCAATACATGTGTAAGTTGATATATAATCATCCACTAGCCGTAGCTAGTGGAAGTTGGAAATATAATCATCCACTAGCCGTAGCTAGTGGAAGCTGAAAATATAATCATGCCATTGCCGAGTAACCTCGAGGCAATGACAAGCTAGAAGGACATGTCCACAATGAGGACAAGCTGGTTATACTTATACATGTGCAAGTTGTGTCTTATGGCCATGGACTTGTACAATACTTTAAGTCTGTATAGGTGTACGTGTACCACAAGATAAGTAGTAATGAATCCAACATTCATAAATCGTTATCATCATCATAAATCATAAGGCATAAATCATAACTCATAAATCTAATAAAGTATGTATCAAGATCGAATCATAAAATATCACATCCCGAACTCGGAGGCATGATACACCATTTAATTTTATATAATCTTATATATAGTTGCATCTAACTTTTGAGCTAGACTGCCTATATACTCCGTAAAGAGATTGAGCCAATCGTAATTGACCTCCATAAGAGAAATTCAACATACGCTACTTAGATCCATTTCCCTATCCCATTTCCAAAGTTAACAATCATGCAATACTGGAATACTTCCATTTTATAATTTCCCCAACAAGTCTAACATGAATAAAATTAGCCAACGTAATGGTGAGAATATGAAAATCTTAACATCAATTAATTAAAGTACAAAAAACTACCTCAATTATTGGTGTCACGATACTTTCATACCTCATCTTTTAAAATTAACAATGTCACACCTTATCTTACGAATTTGTGCCAATTTTATACATTCCATTAGCTTGACATAAATTTCTCAATTAAATGCTGACGTGGCTTGATCCGGGACCCATTTTCTATTAAAAAATTAATAAAATATTATTAAAAACTAAAAAAAATCATTTAATAATTTTTAAATATTAAAATAATAATGAAAAGTAAAAATAAATAAATAAATAAAATAAAAAAAAAGCCCTCACGTTCCCCCCCCTTCTCTCTCTTCTTCCCGATCTTCATCTTCTTCCCCCTTACAGCACCCTTCCTGCAACCCAAAAAAAAGCAGAAGGTAAAAAAAAAAAAACCAATTTATCTTCCCCCCCCCCAACTCGCGATTTTCCCCGACCCCCCTTCCTTTCTTCCCCCTGTCCCATCTTCCCTAAACCCGCACCCACCCTTGCACCCACTACCTGCAACCCAAAAAAAAAAAAACCCATATCCCGTTGAGGTGGAATCAGGAAACCTTCGTGATGGGGTGGGAGTGGTGGATTTGGGATTGGCAGGGGGTTAGGTTTTTTTTTTTTTGGGGGGGGGGGGGGTGGGGGTAGGGGAGAAGGAACGGGGTTTGGTTTGGGGTTCTTCTTCTTTCTGGGTTGCATTGTTTTTTTTTTTTCCCTTCTTCTTCTTCTTCTTCGGTGGGGGGCGTTGATGGGTTTTCAAATTTTTTTTTTGGTTGAAGATTAAGTAAGAAAATGAAGATGGGGGAGAAGAGAGAGAGGGGGAGGGGGGGAAGGGACGAAGTGAGGGGTTTTTTTTTTTTTTTTTTTTTTAATTTAATTTAATTTAATCTTCTTTTTTTTTTACTTTTGTTTTAATATTTAAAAATATTAAATAATTTTATTTTAGTTTTTAATAATATTTTATTAATTTTTTTTTAATAGAAAGTGGGCTCCGAATCAAGCTACGTCAGCATTTAACTGAGAAATTCACGCCAAGCTAACGGAAGGTATAACATTGGCACAAATTCGGAAGATGAGGTATGCCATTGTCAATTTTAAAAGATGAAGTATGAAGGTGTCGTGACATCAATAGTTAAGGTAGTTTTTTATACTTTACCCTAAAAAAATTATAATTGTCTTACTAAACTGTATTCTATTTCAGACAAAAGAAATATATTCACAAGGCTATACTATAGGAACGAATGCTTACATACATGCTCAAATGGGGAAAATTCACGAACCCATTACAAGCAATTTCGAAACCCCAAATGGAGCAAACCAAGTGAATTTGACCAAACAACAAAAAGGGTTAGCTGCAAAACTAAAACAACCCAGCACCTAATAACCAAAATGATAAACAAAACAATTTCTAATTACAATTTTATAAGCCCTAATTTAGAAGGATATGAACAACACAAATATTTATCAGCACCACCATGAAAAAAAATGAAGATATTTATTTGGGGGAACATTATATTAACAGATCAAACTATAACAGTATATTGGCAGATAATGAAATAAAATATGAAATTAACTAGCAGAGGCATTAAACTGTAAACATAAGGAAAGTTGGATTCAAGATAGGAATATGGATTACCTGCTTAAAAGTGATCTGAGATTTAGAGAAAGGAGGTTCTAGAGAGAGATATGTGGTTATGACCATGACAAAGTGATTATATAAGGTGGTGGCAATAATGATAGTGATGGAAGTGTCACATTGTGATTTTCAACAATATGGTGGTAGTAAAGATGGTGTTTTTGGTGGCGATAATAATATTAAATGTGGAAATAGTGGTGCCAACATGGTGTTGATGTGGTGGAGGAGTATGGGTGGCAGCGGTATGCTGTGTGACTATGGTGGTAGAGGCGGTCATAATAAAGGTGGTGTCGGTGTGATCATTATGGGGTGGCGGTTATAAGTTGGTCGTAGGAAGTTGTGTTTGTAGTGAAGGTGGCGGTAATGGTAGTGGTGATGACTACAATAATGTGGTCATAGGAGATTGGGCTACAATGGTGATGATCGTGGCAAGTGGTGGTGGTGGTGATGGGACCGTGGTGATGGTTATAGTAAGGTGGTAATAGTCAAGGTGGTGTGGTGGTTGCTGTATCGATGTTGATAAGGTGGTGATGATGCTCATGGAAATGATGGTGGTGCAGCGATGATGACAATGATGATGGTGAGAGTGGAGGAGATAGTCATGATAAGGTGACGGTGGAGACATGGTGGTGGTGGAGTATATTATTAAAATTGGAAAAATGAAAGCCATCAAAATCTTAGGGTAGGAGGAGATGTTAGATTTGATATGACAAAAAACTTACTATAAAAGCACTCAAGGGGTCAAAGGAGATGTTAGACTTGATATGACAAAAAACTTAATGTAAAATCTTAGGGCTGTAGGAAATGTTAGATTTAATAGTGTAGTTATCAGTGTATAGCTTTGAATTACTTTGTTAGGGCGTGTTGACTTACAGGGAACATGAATTGAAATCATTTTGATCTTTGAGTTTTTAATGTAAACTACAATACGGGTATGAGAAGCATTTCATTTCTTTAACTTCCCATGTGTTTATTAACAACCTTTAAAAAGTAATCTCTGAGTTGTTTGCATAGCCAAACTGTGCGACACTTGATGTGCTTTGACGAAAATTTTAACAAAAATTAATAGAGGTAGCACATCCATACTAAAATAAGGTAGTGCATTTAGTAATGAAATTTCTCCAATGCACAATAAAAATGCATATTTAAGTTACATATCTAAACAAGAGCCGTTAGATTCCGTTAAGTCAGATAATCTAATGACTTTTGTTCAAATGTGTAATTTAAATGTATACTAAAGAAAGCACCGAGTTAGTAAGTGGTCCAAAGAAAATACTTTGGATGGCATTTGCATATCGTCCAGTTCCTCTCCAAAACGAAAACAGAAATAAATGGGCTTGGGTCGTTGTCTTTGAGGTGTGGGTCAAAAGCCCAATTCAATATCTATTCCGTCATTCTGCTATTCTCCACCAGTTTTTAGTTCAGCAAAACCCCAAATTAACAAAATTAGGGTTTCTCACTTCACTCTGCTCTGCTTTCTAGAAGGGACCTGGAAAGAAATCCATCCAATTGAAGAGTCTGCAGAACCCATTTTTGCTCGCTTATGATCCCAACAATTAGAGTAAGATCCAATTCTTCTGGGTGCAAGAATTGTGACGGTAAAGTGTATACACCACTACTTTTCTTCGGTTTGGTTCAATGTGTAAAGTTCCCAAGTTAATTGGAGTTTTAGTGTCGATTTCTCATTGCATTGTTGTATAAACTGAAAACCCGAATTTTGTTGCAAAATCCAAAAGTTGCAAGGTAGATTTTATGGAGCACAAGCATACGTTAATGGGTACTGCAAGTTTTGAAGGCGAAGGTGTAGGAGCTTGTACTGAGAGTGTGATGGACAGGTTCAGTAATCTTCCAAAGGAATTTGCCCATCTCATTCTTTCATTCATTAATATAAAGAACCTCACTCGTTTCAGCTGTGTGTTGAAAAGATGCAGAGAGCTTTCCCCGTCACCTCGGTCGTTGAATTTTTGTGGATTTTCATCGGCAGAGATAGCCACATGTGAGCTGAGCTTTCCCCGTCAACTCAGTGCTTTAGTCTTTCTTGGGAAGCACCGTGCTTCTGTGCGAATGAGAATTTTCGAGTGGTCGCGTGGATTCAAAATGGTGTAATGTTGAAGAGCTTTTTCTTGATGTAAGTTTACATGATTGGGAGGACCGGGTAACATTTCCCTCATGCACCTTTCTTTCTGCATCGTTGAGGTCATTAAATGTGGTGCAGCTGATGAGTATGTATATTAAAACACCCTCGTTTGCCTTTTCCTCTAATCTCAGTTGATTGGAGTTGGAAATATTGATGCTATAGACGAGTCGTTTTTTCAAATGGATCTCGTGTTCCTGCAAATGCATCAAGGAATTATCTCTTAGAGAAATTAGGGATACGAAGCATCACGATTGAAAGCTCCTCTTTGGAGAGATTTGATTTTTTTGAACCCTATTGGTCTCAAATCTGTCATTTCACTGGAACCTGAAGTAGATGACTTTGAAAACATGTTTGAGGTTCTTCGTAGTGTACGCACGGTTGAAGTTCTAAGTCTATATATATGAATCAACCATTAAGGTAAATGGAACCATCCTCTGGACTCAATTTTTATTTGTTGCAAAAACTAGATAATCTGCAATTTGGAAGGACTAAAGTTTAAATTTTTTTTCCTCGTTTGGGAACAGTAGAAGTAGGTAATTTATGTTTCTTACGTATCAGTGTCATTAATCATTATGATCTCGCTAACTAGAATAAATATCAACCTTTATGTTTGAAGTTTGTGGTTAAAAGAATGCAGGTAAACTGAGAAATATGATATAGTTTTTAGCCGTATAAGATTGCAGGCTCTGTTCAGGGAAGGATCCACGCCTGTTCAGTTCAATAATCTTTTTGATTTGGACATGAGTATTCGGAGCTTTTCTGATGAGCTCGTTCCAGCAGTGGTCTATCTTTTAAGAGGAATGCCCAATTTGTGTACTTTATACATAGGTGAACAACCAAGGCTTAGTGATCCTGAATCTGATGTAAGTTAAGTCTATGTTTTTCCTTTTCAATATTTTATTTGGTATCCTTTTTCCTTTTTCTTTTTCTTTTTTGGAAAATTTCAATTGGGTTGCTTGTTGGCTTCTTTCTTTTGCAGGCATCTGGGTTTGATATGGAATACTGGAAGCTACAAAATCTGGACTTTATTCATCACATTGAGGAGGTTACCGTAGATCTTTTCGATGGGTCTAATGGGATTGAGTTTGCAAGGTATATAATCGAGAATGCCAAGAACCTAGAACAAATGGTCATAAGTCATTTACCCGAGCAATATGATGTTAGACAGAAGCTAATTGAAGTAAGATGATGATGCCTTGACAGTGTAAGATCTTTATACTAAGGTTCTGATATTCGAGATTCAATGTTCGAGATTTCAGTGTTTGAGATTCAACATGTTTACTGAGAAATAAATTTTGTTGCTGACACTTGCTGTATTTAGTTTTGTAACTCTCCCAAGGTTGTATTGCTCAAGTTATCGTTTGATAATGAACAGTTAGGACTCTCTAAGGGAGGCACTTTGTAAGTTTTTATTTCAATCACAAATAAAAATCCGCAACATGGTCCTGAGCATCTAGAATTACAGACGGCAACTTATAGGCTTGGCAAATGACTCGTGTTTGTTGTGTTCGTGTTATTCTCGTTATCTTAACGGGCCGTGTCATGTCAAACCTGTTATCTTAACAGGTGACCCAATGACAACTCGATTGGTTAACGGGACATGTCGTTTTGTGTCAATTTAACAAGTCATGCAAGAAATTGCCTAGGCTAATGTTTAGATATGGAAAACAGTATCTTTATTGAATTTTTAACAGGTGACTTGATAACCATCCGAAACGATAATTGGTTCTTAACGGGCTACCTGATAACGATCCGACTCGTTAACAGGTTAGACCCAAAATCCGTTATTTTCGTGTTGGATTAACGAATCGTGTAAAAAATTACCAAGCTTAGTAGCTTGTATAGAATGGATTCATCATCACCTTACTGAACCCCGGTACACTCCGGAGCATCATTTTTTGGAGCCCAACACTAGAAAACCATCATCAGTGGGCCAAAATAGGGCTCTAAATCAAGGACCCCATTTTAGAGCCCAACCCACAATAAACCCCCAAATGAACAAAATTAGGTTTCTCAATCTCTCTGCTCCGCTTCTAGAGGGACCTGGCAAATTGGCAATTCATTGAAGTCCACATGAGTAAGCTTGAATTCTATTGGGTACAAGAATGGTACGTACAACTACTTTCATAAATTATAGTTTATGTTGAAAAGTCTCAAACTTCTGCTGGCAATGAATGCCCACAAAGCTAGTCATCTGCATGGGCAAAGTTTTCAATGCCCATGCTGAATGAAAGTGTCAGATGTAGATTTTAATTTTCAAGATGCATTAACTGCATCAGTTCGAATTGCTCTATAAATAGAGCACTCCGCATGTAACAGAAATGAGATGAAGAAGAAATACAAGAGAGAAATATCAATAACATCATATATTCCTCTGCCTTTTATTATCTGTCTGTGCTATAGTTTTTGTGTGGCATTTTACATCTACCTTGCACCTACCACTTAAAAGGTTATCTCTCAAACTTTAACCCTTTTATAACACGTTATCAGCACGAGTCTCTAAATATATTTATTCTTTCATCTCTCTTCGCCGAACGAACGAAAGAAAAAAAAAATGTTTCCTTTAAGGTTTTTACTGTTCATCTTCTTCCTCTGCCTCAACTGCGCCGTGTACCCTCGCGACGAGTTGTTTGCTCCATGCCTGCTCATAGTTCTCCAACTAACGGTTACATACATCTTTGATTACTTGTTTGGTGTAGAGATTGATTACTAACCTAGTATTTATTTGTGTTAATTCTACTGCAATCCAAGATGGTGCGGTACAATCGCCCATCTTGAACTGCAAATTTAATCTTACTGCGATCCAAGACGGTGCGGTATCATCGCCTATCTTGGACTGCAGATTTAATTTTACTGCAATTTTTAGGTGGAGCGGTATAATCGCACACCCTACCCTGCATATTCGAATTTACCTGCTGTTTAATTTCATTGCAATTTTATGTGGTGCGGTATAATCGCCTACGCTGCTCTGCATATTTAATTTTCCTGTTACTTGAGTGGTGCGGAATAATCGCCCATTCTATATTGCATTATTTCAATGAGAATGGTGCGGTACGATCGCCCTCCTCATTCACCCTGAAAATCTCGAGCCAGAAGTTTCGAGTGCTTATCATTTTGGCCTGAAGATCAAAATGAAAAATTTGTAAGAACCAGAAGTTCTAACATCATATTCCTTCAGGAATACATATTATTGCAAGTTCTTACACATCTCATTTTCTTTCAGAAAAGAAAATGGCGAACTTGGCGAAACTTGAATTTGCTGCCCTGGATATTACCGGGAAGAATTATCTGACCTGGGTACTGGATACCAAGATCCATCTGGAAGCAGGGAATCTTGGAGATACCATCAGGGAAGAGAGCAACTCATCCTCTCAAGATCGGGCAAAGGCCATGATTTTCATTCGCCGCCATCTTGATGAGGCGCTAAAGAGCGAGTACTTAACGGTTGAAGATCCGTTAGCTCTCTGGAATGCCTTGAGAAGCAGATACAATCACCAGACAACGGTGATTCTTCCAAGGGCCCGCTATGAGTGGACTCATCTGAGGATTCAAGACTTCAAGTCAGTGGCAGAATACAATTCTGCATTGTTCAGAATTACCTCTCAGATGAAGCTCTGTGGGGATATTATTACTGAGGAGCATATGCTGGAAAAGACTCTCAGCACATTTCATGCCTCCAACGTGCTCCTGCAGCAGCAGTATAGAGCGCGAGGCTACACTGAGTACAACCAGCTGATATCTGTGCTCTTAGTAGCTGAACAGAATGATGAGCTCCTGATGAAAAACCATCATTCCCGACCTACTGGATCTGCACCATTCCCAGAAGTGAATGCTGCTTCTCTCGGAGTGAACACCACATCCTCTGGTGGTGATAATCATAAACGAGGACGTGGTCACAAGCGAGGTCGATGGAATAGGAAAGGCAAGAACCATGGAGTTCAGTTTCATAACCAAGTCCCCAGGAATAATTCAGGCCCGAGCTTCAAAAATGTGAATCGCCACAAAGGCAAAGCTCATATGAACAATGCTCCTAGAAACTCTGAAGGAGCCTGCCATAGGTGTGGTGGCAATGGGCATTGGGCGCGTACTTGTCGTACCCCAAAACATCTAGTGGATCTGTATCAAGCCTCCCTCAAGGAGAAGGGTGTCGAGACTAACTTTCTCGACGAGGCTAGACCAATGGATATACCTGATCCAGTGTTTGACTTATCAGGGCAGTTGAACACAACTCATCTAGATGTTTCAGACTATATTGTAGAAAGGGGAAATGAAGTATATCGGTCCGATTGAATCATTAATGTACTTTTATTATGAACTTGTAGTATTCTCAGATTCAATAAAAGTGGCATGTAAATTTTCTTGTTATAACTTGCTTTTAATTCTGATTCTCTTACTCAGAGAGCATGGATAAAAACTGTGGTTATTCTCAGAACATGAGAAATGGTGGAGATATTTGTCTTGCAGACAGTGCAACCACACATACAATACTTCGTGATCGAAAGTATTTCTCAAGCTTAATACCTACAAGAGTAGGGGTAACAACAATATCAGGACCTTCAGATGTAATTCAAGGTTCAGGGCAAGCCCAGATTATGTTACCAAATGGAACAATATTGTCTATACATAATGCATTGTATGCTACTCGATCTACTCGAAATTTGTTGAGTTTCAAAGACATACGTCTAAATGGATACCACATTGAAACAAAAAGTGAAGAAAATGTGGAGTATCTATGCATTACCTCCAATGATACCCAGAAGCGTATATTGGAGAAGTTGCGTGGTATGTCGAGTGGATTATATTATACATACATAAGGACAATTGAATCACATACTGTCATGAACCAGAAGTTCATTGATTCAAAGGTTTACATGCTTTGGCATGACCGTCTGGGTCATCCAGGATCTACTATGATGCGTAGGATCATTACCAACTCTAATGGACATCCATTAGTGAGCAGACACATTGCTGCCTCAAATGATAACCCTTGCAAAGCTTGTTCTCAAGGGAAGTTGGTAATTAGACCATCACAACTAAAGGTTGATGCTGAATCCCCATCATTTCTGCAAAGAATTCAAGGGGATATTTGTGGGCCTATTCAACCATCATGTGGACCATTTCGATATTTTATGGTTTTGGTTGATGCATCTACCCGATGGTCACATGTTTGTCTCTTGTCTACTCGGAATGTAGCCTTTGCAAGACTTCTTGCTCAAATAATTAAGTTACGAGCACAGTTCCCAGATTATCCTATTAAGTCAATCCGACTTGATAATGCTGGTGAATTTACGTCTCAAACCTTTGATGATTATTGCATGACATTGGGCATTGATGTTGAACACCCTGTTCCTCATGTCCATACTCAAAATGGTTTAGCAGAAGCATTGATTAAGCGGCTTCAGTTAATAGCTCGCACTCTGCTCATGAAAACCAAATTGCCAGTCTCTGCATGGGGACATGCCATCCTACATGCTGCATCATTGGTTCGATTGAGACCTATAGCCAACCATCAATACTCTTCAGTACAACTCGTGTTTGGACATCAGCCCAACATTTCCCATTTACGAGTTTTTGGTTGTGCTGTTTATGTGCCTATTGCACCGCTGCAACGCACTAAAATGGGACCTCAGCGTAGACTGGGAATTTACGTGGGTTTTGATTCACCATCTATCATTAGATATTTGGAACCCTTGACAGGTGATATGTTTACAGCTCGTTTTGCTGATTGTCATTTTGATGAGACAATTTTCCCGTTGTTAGGGGGAGAAAAGACCGTTCCAGAAGAACGGAAAAAGCTGACATGGGTTGTTCCCACCTTGTCTCATTTTGATCCTCGCAACATTCAATGTGAAAATGAAGTGAGAAGGATCGTTCATCTTCAAAGCATTGCCAATCAAATGCCAGATGCATTTAATGATGCTATGAAAGTGACAAAATCAAATATACCAGCTGCAAATGCACCTGCAAGAATTGATGTCCCTGTTGGACAAAATAAAGTGGCAGCAAATGATTCATCTGGTGCACGCCTGAAGCGTGGTAGACCCCCAGGTTCAAAAGATTCAGCTCCTCGAAAGAGAAAGTCGAGGGCACAACTGAATCCAAATGAAATCATTCAGGAAGAGAAAATGAATGATACATCCACAATTCATAATTCTGGACTTCCAGAAAAAGAAAATGTCCTTGATGAGACATCTGTCCCTGAAGAGACAGAAATACATGAAAGCAAAGAAATCTCCATAAATTATGCATGTACAAATGAATTGTGGGATCGGAATGAAATAATCATTGATGATATGTTTGCATTTGCAGTAGCCACTGAAATCATCTTAAGTGATGATATTGAGCCCCGCTCTGTTGATGAATGCAAACAGAGACAGGATTGGCCTAAGTGGAAAGATGCAATCCAGGCAGA